CCCCCGGAGGAGCTGGAGGAAGTGTCTGGAGAGAGGGAAGTCTGGGCATCTTTGCTTAGACTGCTGCCCCCGCGACCCGGTCCCGGATAAGCGGAGGAAAATGGATGGATGGATTTAGATCTGAAACCAAAATCTTAGAGGAGCTGCAAAAGTCGTGTGTGTGTACATGTGGGCTAGCACCTGTGCATGATGTACAGTATGTGTTCTTACCAGTGTTAATGATGAACCGTATGGCGTCTAGGCCCAGAGTGTCATAAAGGGGAACCACCACCATGGAGTAGGTGTAGCAAGCTAGCTCTGAGATGATCCACTGTAATAACACAGAGGTCAGGGGTCATAAGTTGAGTTTGATCAGCCACTGAAAATGTACACACATCTTTTTACTTAGTTGCTTCATTAGAAATATTTATACTTGGTAATATATTTATAAGTCAACACATTTTTAAAAACTGTTTCAAGACAGAATGTGCTAATCTGTTAAAATGAGAGAGGATCCATTAGTAGATGCTGTGTACTGTTTTTGATTGTAAGTGTTCGTGTTTACACCTGCATGAACAAAACCTTCTGTAAAATGATCAACCTTCTCTGATCAACACACACTGATTCAGTGAGGTAGGCCATGAGAAACAGAGTTCAAGCAACAGAGCAAGAGAGACAAACGTGAGAGAGAAAGAGGCTGAGAGTGAGAGTCACCTCTGGCCTGTTCTGGGCAAACACTCCTATGAATTGGTTGGGGTTGGGTTTGCAGCCCTGGTGCAGCAGGCCCGAACCCAGACACTCAGCCCGGGCCATCACCTGTGGAACATGGGACACCAGTCGATTGGACCACATGGAAATCTTTAAGAGGCTTATCACGACCATCTGTCTTAGTGCTCTCGATCTTCTTCACCACATCCTGGAAGAAGAAGGAGAAAAAAAAAAAAAAAAAAAAAGATAGAATATTTACTGTGGTAACAAGAACTCTGAATAAACAGTTCCCATTTTACGCTTCACTTTGTTTTCAACTTACTGTAGAAACCCACAGTAGGAGGCAGAAATTCTTCTTAGTGAGCCCACGTGAGCCCACTACTATTTAGAAATGCTGGTAAATAAAGTGACCTCAGGGGATAATTCAGTGGTCATCTGCCCATTCTGGAAACATTCATAGTTTTCATTTTTGGAGAAATGCTTGACTTTCTGTTGTGTAAAAAGTTGAATTGCCCAAATCTTGTTACTCAAGATACTGGTAAGTTTCTGTGCTTAGACAGCAGAGAAAGTTGCACAACATTTATATATTCTCGGTTCAGTCTTGCACATTTTTCCAGCGTGGAATGAGAATTAACAACGCATTGTTTTATATACAATGAAGAGACAGCTTCTTTCTAAATGAGACTTTAAGTAAGCCTGGGCTTATCCTGGATTTCCTGGAGTTTGTAGTATAATGGAAAAAGAAAAAACAATTATTTCCACCCACCACTGTCTTGTATAATATGATGATGCCACTGATAGATGTTGAAGATGGTGCAACTCACTTCTCACATGGCCTCGTGCAGTGTTTTACAATAGATTTCTACATCGCTTGTCTAAATAAAAATTTCCAACAAACCACCCACACTAATTCCACCACCACTCCTGTGACTTTCCATAACATTTCAGGTTATTTCCAGTCTTCAGAGATCTGTTGGAACCCGAAAATGTATCAAAAGATGATGGCTGTTTGCATCTCATTGCCAGAGATTACTTCAATGCATAATTGGTATGTGGCTACATCTGGTGAGCACAGCTGTCACAGGAGACGCACCCTCCAATACATACACCCCAGCAGGTATTGAAAAAAAAATTAATCAGCTACATGTTGGCTGATGACCACGGAGGCTGTATCTGTGCCTGTGCCAATATATAGTATGGGCTCAGTGCAATCTGTAGTGTTGCAGCTGAAATCAACCAGCAGACTACATGTACAACACATACTGTAAACATGTCTGTGTAGTGAAGACAACATATTCAGGCAAAACAATCCCTCGTATATCTTAATACTGAACAAATCCTCAAAAAGATTATCAATAACGTCACATGTCTACAATGAATACTTCAAACTTCAAGGATGGGTTTTAGATTGCCTGCATGTTACTTTGTGTAAAGACTAATAAACGCATGTGCACTGACACCATTTGACATAATTTACCTTTGCAACCCTGTCTCCTAGAAATGATGTTTATACTCAACTGAACTGCAACAAACACTGTAGTGATGTTTTGAATGTAAGAAACATAATTTTTAGGAGACACTTGACCTCTGAGGACATTGTTGGCCTTATTTCAGGACCTCCACGGGTGCCAGATTTGATTTGGTGATACAAAGTCTCTGTGGTGCTGCTAAGTTAACTACACTTAAGTGTTGACCCACATAGTTACATTAACGAACTAACAGGGTTAGTTTATTGCTCATCAAATATCATTACAAAGAGGATGATGAGTGATAATGATGATTGACATTTATAGGATCACAGTTAACAACAGAATAAACTTTACAAGAAATGCTACATGAATGTTTGGACAGGCTACAAAGAAAAGATAATGTTGTAAACAAAGTTATTTAAATCACTCACAACTGTAAAAGCAACATAAATTAAGTTTTATCACCACTCTAGAAGCATTTTGTAGTGTTTGCCTGTCACTGTTTTCACATACTTGACATTCCACTAAGGTTGATTGGCACTAACCTCTTTATAGGACATCCATGTGTAAGGCTGGTTAGGGAGCCGCGAGCCTAAGCAAGGTCCATCATCTGTTAAAGATACAGTGAGACATCAAGTTTTAGTGTCTGTATGAAATGTGTAATCTAGCCTGATGGTGATGATAAACAGATCAGGGTTAAACTAAACATATGTTACCTTAGAATCCTCTTGGTGTGGAAGAGAACACTTGAATATTAAATGATAGATTTACTGTATAATTTTTCAAGCCTGTCTTACAACGAGAGTATGAAAAATGTAATTAATGAAACATTATTTTTAAAAATTTACTCTGCATCTCATTATAATAAGAACATTTGCATGTTTTAATGAGATACTTTTCTCATTAGAACAAGAAAGCATCTTGATACAACCATCAAATGAACAGATTAAAATCTGTAGATTACCTAGCTAACATGTAAAACATACTGAAGAAGAAAGTTACTTCACTAACAAGCATACTGTTTTGGCCAACTATTTGTTTTTAGTTATTAGATTTCATGATAATCACCACAAAATGTAATTTAAAGTTGTGTCTCCTGCAATGAATATTTTTTATTTGTCATATTCACCAGTGTCGGTGACCCCAAGTGTGGTGAAACTCAAGACCACAAACCGAGACACTGACACTATATTCATAGTTAATACATGGAGGTCAATTACTAAACATGCAGTCTGGATTTATATTACTGGATGTGTGAGTTAAAAAGCAAGTACAGTAGTGGCTAATTAACATTTAAATTACCATAATTATAATTAAATGACAATAAACAACTTGTCTCTGAAGATGGGAGCAGGTATGCTTGGAGCGCTACGTGGTAGAAATATCTCTGCACTGTGAGTCAAGCAGTCACTGTGAGCGCTGACTCTGTTACCGTTAGCAACGGTAGCCATCACCTTGGTAACCAAAGGGCTGGTTTTACCTCCAGCAGCAGAGAGATGATTGGATGTCTCACGGTCGGACCACAGTGTTGTCAGACTGCGTGCTACCTCTGTCTGCAGTGCTGCTTGCCGGTGCAGTACAGTCGAGATACAAATGCATCGCAGCGTGTTCCCGTGTGTGTGTCAGTGCGTTTGTACTGTACTGTGGAAAGTACATTTACTCAAATACTGCACTTAAGTACAATATTGAGGTATTTTCATACTTTGACTTCATTATACTTTTTGAGGTAAATGTACTTTTTACTGCATTACGTGTGTTTGATAAAATCAGATGAATAAAACAGAACACAGTATAATTTAAGACTTCATTGATCCCTGGTGGGAAAACCACACATTACCCAGCAGTATGCAGAGTACTTCAGATTGTAAATACAATATACATGTATATGGTAGTTAAAATTAGCCACACCTTTACCGACATTAAATTGATGAACACAATTATACCTCATAATCCAATAATATGGTATACATTGATGTGAGATGTGCTGTTCTGTATAATGAGTACTTTTACTTCTGATAATTTAAGAATATTTTAATGCTAATACGTTTGTTGTACTTTGGTTTCTGAATCACGATCTCTGGAGTTTTGTTGGTTAGCTGGATTTTAACCCACTAGTGTACTGGGCAATAAAATCAGATCACACTAGTGATTTAATCAAGATAAATAATCAATTCCCCCATTAATGAATGAGGTTATGGTAGTGCATCTATGAACCAGACTCATGGGAGCTGTAGTCAGTAGCTTTTTGTACAGCTCATAAATGATAGTTTTTTCTTTATTAAAATAAGACAAAACTATAATTTAGGTCAAATACTGATATTTATTATTTAACAAGTTATATTTAAAATCCTTTTAAAGAACAGATTTATTTAAAGGTTAAATAACAGCTAGAGCTTTATAAAGGCTCTATAGTGTTCGACTTTAGACTGAAATCCCCTATTTATCAACTCAGAGCTTCTCTCAGCTAGACAAATGTATAAATTAGTTTTAATTTGACGGTTGATATCTTATGAATTTGACATGATCCTTTTCACTACCTCTGCTTTTTCTTCTTTTATTACTTTCCTCACATTAGATTTGTTTCATTTTTTGCCTGCATTAAATGTTTTTATTGTTGGTTCCATCTACCTACTATACACTTACCTGGATCTTTTGTAAAAAAGCTTTTTAATCTCAGCATTTCACCTTAAATGCTGTAATAGATGTATATCAAACAATAGAAAAGATAATTATCTTTTTTTTTTAGGAATGAAACAAACACTTTATGAGGAAGGCTAGCACAAAAACACACCAGGTTACCAGCTCTTACATATACAGTACTATACTATGACACATTTACTTTACATGTGTGAGTGAGAACATGTGTATGCATGTACAGTATGTGTGGATTTCAAGTTCTCTCTCCTCATGTCCTACCCACCAGATATATGAAGGCCTCTCTGGAAAACCTCGTACATGGTCCTGGCGTCATCATGGTAATGGGTTAGCAGCTTAGACCTGTCGCCCATCATAGACCTGCGAGCTCCACCTTCATGCTGGTACAAAGAGAGAGGGAGTGAAGACAATGTTACACCATCAACACAGTTGAAGTGTGTTGGGTGAGCATTTCTGTGGAAGCCTGGTATTCATGCTAAACGATGCTTTCATCACTATCACATCACTTTTTTCTAAACTCTATGGGTGTTGGTATCAAACTGAAAAACAAAATTTGGCAAGAGGGAAAATCGAAATCTTCCGCACCTGAAACATGGTGTTGAATAGATACCAAGGCTTGAGGCAGAGTGCAAGGACATTAGCTTTGCTTGTGTGTACTTGTGCTGTAGGTGCTGCCTGCAGTAGTCTCAGTCTGTTAGATTGCAGTATCACCACCTCAGTCACCATTACCAACAACAAAGCACTCTCATGGCCACAAAAAGCCTTTCAAAAGAGTTTCACATTGCCTACAAATGCTGCCAGCCTCACCTGTCAGCTAGACGGCGGAGGGCTGTGGTGTGTATGTGTGGTGGCTAAAGTAAACCAGGACAGGGCTGAAACCAAGGGCATAGTGTTGTATGCAGTCAACAACAAACAACACAGAGGAAGAGTTCATTCAGCTTGCATTTTTTTGTGATGGTATTAAGGTTTTATTTTACAAGCCTTACACTTTATTATTATGATTATATACATCATTACTTAACTGTCATGTATTGTCTTGTTTTTGACTTATACTCAGTTCTATTGCTTTTGTTGGAGAATGATGCAATTTTACACAATCACGTGTAAATGAAGGTAAAAATAAATGTGTGGTTTATTAAGTGAGAAACCAAAACCAAGCAAATCAAACTAAAGTTGTAAAAGTGTGTGTGTGTGTGTGTGTGTGTGTGTGTGGTGGTGGTGGGGGGGCACAAATGGCCACAATATGGCCACAAATATTGCCGCCATTTGTAAAAGACACTTTACTCTTTGTGCATATATGAATCTGTATATGTGCTCCGTCATACCGGCACCTCCTCAGACTGATGCAGCAGGCTGCAGGGCGGCTCAATGGGTTGGGGTCTGGTGGCCAGCCAGTACGCCAGCATGGCGGTGAGAGCGCCGATGCCCACCAGCGTGGAGGTCGGCAGAGAGCAGAAAAACTGGCTAATATCATCCATCTCTGGTATCCTCAGGCCACTCATCATCTCCTAGGCCTGCATCTTCTCCATTAGAGTGGAACTCAGCTCTGCAGGGAGAGAGACACTCATTGACACTTTTTCTAGCTTCATGCATGTGTACATGTTCAGTAGCACTGTTAGTAGAAGAACTCTACTGTCAAAACCTTCACATACAGTCTACTCTAAAGCAAAAGAGGAATTGACAAAGGTAGACTAAACCATAGTCTGGCATTTGACACTGGATTGCAGCAATGACCAAAATATGACAAACTGCTCACAATCCCTGGTTTCACTTCCACAGCCAATAAACTGAACTTTCCTCTTCCTTTATTCAATGTGCTTTTTATCTTCTAGCAGTGTGCTGCATTTTAGATGTGTGAAGTATGCCATGAAAGAACTTACATGATTTGTGTGCTACCAAAAATACATCACTGTACTATAAGGTCACATAAGGGCCATTTATAATGTGTCAGTGTGTGAGCTGTTCATATGCTACACTTTGACACTTCACTGACTCCTATTTGTGACTGATCTGCAAGCACACGGAGGAAAATGAGATTTTCAGTGTTTCAGGTTCAATTATAGAGCGATAATGTCTTAAAATAGCTTGAGAAACACCACATAATGTATAAATCAATTACTGAGTGCTACACTGATTGACTGAGAGGCTGATTTGATTACACGTACATTTGAATACATGGCATCTGACATGTGAGGGCACTGAAAAAACTGTTTTCCAGGAAGTAGTAAATGCCCGTTGGCTGGGTGTATGTACAATATATGATTGGCTGTTATTGATTTATGCCTGTCTAATTCAAGTGTTCTCAGTTTTACAGTTTGTTTCGCACTGACCTTGATGAAGGCTATGAGCTGAAACACATTGGTACAGCAAGTGCTGCTGGAGTTTTTATCCCTGCAGACTGAATTCCCTTTTCCCTGCACCCTGATAGTGGGTGAAGTTGTGCCAGAAATCTTTATTTCGGGAGGTGGTAATCAGTGTTCATTACCACTTCGACATATGCACTTCATGTGATCAGGTTTTCCCAGATGCAGACATTTATCAGACTAAACTAAACCCCTCCTACAGATTTCTCACAATCGTGTTTCAAACATTTTGACAGTCCTATGTGATAAAAGTGTGATAAATGTGACTACACTGGCCCCCCATCCAAATGCTGTGACTTTCAACACATCATTTATACCTAAAAAAAGGATGAACAAGTCTTCCTCCACATTCTTGCTCTTACTGTAAAAGCAGCTCAGAATAGATGATCTACCCTCGAGCACTGAGAAGCGGTGGGATTAGAAAGCACACACACATACCACATACAGTGCTTATTATGGCTCAGCCTCTGTCACTCTCGCACACATGCACACACAAGGTGAGATGCATAATTTAGCTGAGGGGCGACTGAGGGGCGGCTGATTGCAGCGCTGACTGGAGGGTTTCCTCTGCTCCCCTGGGTAAATGAGTCAGAAACAGCACCACCTAACTGAATGAATGGAACGGGGCACTGCTACAGCTCTTAGCCAATCAGAATCACTTCCTGTCTGCTCTTTATCTCTCTCCCCCACACGCAGACACACGCTCTCAACCACAGACAGAGTGAGACTGCTGCATATAATTATCTGAGGCTGTGGGAACTCTTGACTTCCTCATTCACCTGATATTTTAAAACTAGCAGTTTTTTCACCACTACTTTACTAAAGGGAAGGTTATGAACCCGCACTGGGGTGCATCCATCCATTATCTATACTGCTTATTCCTGGGGTCATGGGGTGGCTGGAGCCAATCCCAGATGACATTGGGCTAGAGGTGGGGCCCATCCTGGGCAGGTTGCCAGTCTATCACAGGGCTACCCACACTCACACTCACTCACTCACTCACTCCTACAGGCAATTTAGTGTCGCCAATCAGCCTAAGCTGCATGTCTTTGGACTGTGGGAGGAAGCTGGAGTACCTGAATAGAGCCCACACAGGCACAGGGAGAACATGCAGACTACACACAGAAAGGCCCTGATTCAGCCCGGGCTCAAACCTGGAACCTTCTTACTGTGAGGTGACAGTGCTAACCACTGTACTGCTGTGCCACCCCACCCCACCCCACACATACAAACAGACAAAAATACTTTCAGCAGACAGCAGACCATCACTCATCATCCACAGTACAGCACTGACTCATGTAATCACATTTGCATAAAGTAATGGCTATTACTCATCACGTCCACTGCTCTGATTCAAGGAAAAAGCACAATACCTTTGACTGCTCTGCAGTGAATTCCCTGAGGCTGCTTTCCCAAACTACTGTATACCGGGGCTTGAATCCTGTTAATTCAACTTAACTTCAGTTTTTATTCAAACAGAAACTATCACATGCAGCTGAAAAACCACACCATGTTCAGTCCCTCTGATGTGGCTAAAAACAGTAATGTGCCCTTAACACCTCAGAAAGCCTCGCTTCTCTATTTCTACTGCACTGTTAGATATTTCCTCTTTTTTTTATTGTTTAACTTGTTCCCTGCAGTTACAATAATCTTGTTGGGGAATTTGAGCTGCTTAATTGCTGGGAAATGTTGAACAAGGTAGAAGCCACTTGATGGATCTGAACTATGTGTACAGGGGCTGAAGCTGTTACAATGCCAATGCATGGGTTCCTTCCCGGTGCTCAGGATTCACAACATGCACGGACAAGATCATTTCCGTGCTGGATTTGACAATGAAGATCTTTTTCAAATCGAAAACATTGCTGCTGAATTAAAGTGCTGGGAGCTGAGGGCAGCGAGTGGATCTTTTGCCTTCATGCTGGTGTTATGACAACAGAACTTGAACAGCTCAAGCATGTCATAAAAATAAACAAGTAAACCTCCCTGCCGTCAAACACAGGCCAACATCCACGAAATCCAGCATATTTACTTCCTGTGGTATATAAACAATCAAATCTGTTCTACAACCGTGGACTTCATTTCACAAGTGAGCTGACAGTAAATATTTATGAAACCTGAAATAAGTGAACAGTATTTAATCTTTATGATTGATTCTGAGTTTATCTGGGGGCTTTTGTGTTGAAGAGAAATATATTGTGAGTATAGACAAACCTTATAAAAATGATTTGCTGAGTGGAACATCCATAATGAAAGGTTAAAATGTTCCTCAGACTGCTATTAAACTTGTCAGACACGTGCAAATATCCTCACAAAGAGCACTGACTGGTTTAACAAGCATGCAGTTGAAAATTTTAAGGTTAAAATAATCCAGATAGACCTGGTGGTGTTCTGATAAAGCCTGGAGGAGGCATATATTCGGCTCTGGCCTTTGTTCTGACTATAATGATGAACTTGAAGTGGCTGAGTATGTTGTTACTGGCTGACCATGGCAAAAGAAATGTTTATTTGTCTGTTTAGCTTTTTCTGCTTGTTGGTACACATGCTTGATTGATTTTGTAATTCAAATATTCTCTATAAACCTCTGTGCATTACTGTGAGAACATCTATGCAGATCCAAAGTGAGCTGTTTATGCATCTCACTACATGTGCTCTGTACTGTGTTCAGTGGCTAATGTGGCTTGGCTACAGTGGCGATCGAGCCAGAGTGGATTAGTCTGCGAAAAGAGAGGCAGAGGAGGGGAAACAGTTCTCGACCAGCTCTAAATATAGACAGACTCCATAACCTAGCAACACCGCTCACTGTGCTGATAGCTGGAAAAGAGGAGGCTGGAAAGAGAGAGAGCAGCTGTTAACAAGAGCATTACTGTGCAGAAACACACACACACAAACACACACGCGCCATTGTAAACCCCCAGAGAACGAGAACGATATAAAAGGCAGTAAATGGAACAATGAGTGCCGGGGTCAGAATAACACTAACCCTAAACCTATTAGTACCAGTGGGGCTAAAATTAAATATTGATCTTTATCATCTTTATGTGCATTTGTCTTGTGATGCTTTGTCTTATGCATGAGAAAATTATTAATATACTTATACTATGTTGCTCAGAATATTGATTCCAATTAAGCTATAAAGTAAAAAAACTGTTGTTGAAGGTTATGTGTTCAGTTGTGTCTAGTCTAAACCGTAATCGTGGGCAGTTCATTGATCATCCATTTGGTTATCTTATATCTTATATTGCATACATTTATCAGATTGTGATATATGGTGGCTCTGGGGACAAAAACTGCATAAATTCAAATCAAATTTCTTTACAGTTAAAACACTTAATGTAAATATAAAGTTCTGTTAACCTTATTTGGACTGTTAAACAACTTTAACATATAAAAATAATACGCTAAAATCAAATCAAAGTTCTGCGATGGATTGGCAACCTGTCCAGGGTGTACCCCGCCTTCGCCCGATTGCTGGCCGGGATTGGCTCCGGCCCCACCCGTGACCCCGTTCAGGGACTAAGCGGTAGAAAATGAATGAATGAAATCAAAGTTGACAACAGTGCTAAATAAACTCACTTTCTGTCCAATATTTTTAGCTTTGCTAGGATTTTTTTTAACTTTAAATGGTTGTTTACAGAGGCAAACACATGGACAAACCTCTGATGTGGGTCTCTGAGCCAGTGACACTTGATTTCACACTGAATCATATTGTTTTCTCTGAACTGTTCGAAAGAGTCCTGTTCTAAAGCTGCTCTGTAAATGTGTAAAATGAGAGGTAATCTTCCTTGGATTTGATTTCATTTTGTAATAAAACCCACTTTTTTGTCACTCACCTCTGCAAAGCAATGCTAATGCAGTGTAATGTGTGTGTGTGTGTGTGTGTGTGTGTGTGTGGGTGCAAAGGATTCTAATGTCACTGGCTGAGGTGGAACATCAGCAAATAATAAGACACATGTTACTGGCTCCTGCTTGTAAAGGAACACGCTCTCATGTGGAGCCTGCAGGGTTAAACAAGCCAAAGAATGCTACAGTACAGACATGCTAACCTACCACATCTCTGCACTGAAACAGCCTGACAGCAGCTGGAAACTCACAGCCTGCCAAAAATCTAACTGGGCTCCAAGAAAGACACAGACATCTAACTGTCCATTGTCGTTTTGTGATTTCTTTGTTCTGCTCTTGTTTG